AAAGAATCTTTGAAGTACTGATGAAAAAAACTGATTTTTTAAAGATAGCGTTAAGAAATACCAAAAAATAGAATTATCATAGCAATTACCACCACAATTACTTTATCTCAGTGCTTACTATATGCAGCTTTCACCTAGCTAGCCAAGTTAAATCTGTATTGTTTGCGTACCAACCTGTTTTGTTAATTCAGAGCCAGCAAGGGATTATGGTATAGCAAGGGATTATGCTATAACATGAAAGCATAGCCTATAAAGTTAGACATTAGAGCATTTTCAGTTCTACTGCTACACTATCTTCAGGGGACAAGTTTTACAGCTGTTTTCCTTGTACCAATACATGGGGCAAGGAAGCAGTCGGACTTCGTGCTAGGTGACATCACCATTCATCAAATGCCTTCATGCCTTTCTTCAGTCGTGTCACTGGGATGATGAAGAAATGCAGCTTGCACAGCATCAGATCTGAGCATGCTTTTTTGAAGTGCTGGCCAAAAAAAAAAAAAAAAAAAAAAAAAAAGTCGATGTATAGTGGGATCAAATGGATTTAATAGCTTAATTTCATAGCCTGAGTAGCCTTCTTGAACTACAGACACTGCAAGAATGAGTTGAAGGCAAAGTTGGTCACAGAATGCATGGCAATGTTTTATCACATCTATTAAACAGATAAGTCATCAAACCCCACAGCCAAGCATCTGCAGCCCAAACACTGTTGATACTGAGTTTACAAGGCATTTGTGATGAATGCTTTTGTTGTAATTAAAAAGCTGTGTAAGTCTACCCAGATGTGTTGTAACCAGTACCTTATCTGCTCTGCCAAGATGAGGACAGACCTCACCTGTCAAAGCCAATTACTTTGAGATAGCTCTTCCCTGGACAGGAGAAGAGTTAATCAGCAATTCCCTGGTAGAATGTTTTGCTTTTTCCAGTGAAGAATGCTAGTTGGTTGTCATTTAAATCTCCCATAGAAAGGCACAGAACTTGATCAATCTTCTGACAAAACAAGTTCGTTCTTAATGTTTCATTTTTTGACAGTTCCTCTGCTCACTTTATACACTAGCTGAGAGCTTAGACTCTATAGTTCACAAATTCTGCCAGAGGAGAGATGGCAGCTGCTAGCCCTGAGACTGGGATGGCCGTGGAACTCTGACTTTTCCATGCAGCAGTAAAAAGAAGTAACCAGGCAGGTATGTTAAAACAGCCTACATTTTCATCTGAATACAGGATAGCTGTCCCCTATTTCCCATTCTCCACCCCAAATTTTGGAATCATCCAAAGATGGAAGCTGCTTTTCATAAAAGGGTAATTAATGATAACATGTAGCCAAACCAATTTGGGGAAAGACTGCTTTGTGAAGGAAAAATAGATAAAAGTACAGCATTCTTGCAGCCTGGATTCAAGGGAACCCTGCATGTTGTTAAGGAAGAAGAATGTCTGCAAAATCCTCTAGGATATTATCCTTGCCTGGCAAATAAAGGAAGACAGGATACAATGAAATAATTCTGAACATGGCACATCTGTCTTTTGTGGCAGGAGAAAGGATGGCATAGTTTGGGTTGTCTCCTGTTCGGTGAAAAGGCAAACAGCCTGTGAGGGAAGAGGCTGAAAATGAGTGCTCACAGGAGAATTGAAGCAAAACAAAAAATCCTCATTCAGCATGAAACCAAGATAAAAGTAAAATTATTCAAGGATGAGTAGATCTTCTATAAAGCTATACTGAAGAGTCTGGGTAAAAAAGGGAAAGGAATCAGAATTACCTAATTTTTAATTAAGTGTAGCTGGTATTATTGGAAACAGATGGGAAGAACTGCATAAGTGGAACTTAAGAATCAATGGTTATAACTTGTTTTGTTCAAGAAGGGAAAAGGGAAAGAAGTGCTGAACTCTACAGTAAAAAGATATAGTCTGTTTTCAGGACACTGACAGCTCAGAAGCAAATGATTTTGCATGCAATGGATCAGTATTCTTAACACACAAAAACCAAAATGGAATTGTAGCTGCTGTCTGCAAATCACCAAATCATAGAAGAGAGTAGGATGACTGGGTGCCTTAGCACCTTTTCTAATGTGTAGGAGCAAAAAGCTGTGCTATCATCTAAGATTTCAGTCTTCCTGACATATGCTTAAAGTTTCATGATGTTGGTACTTCTCTGTAGAATTTTTGAACGTTATATATGAACATTTCTTAAACCAAAAGTGAAAATCTCCAAAAAGGTGGACTTATTGTGAGACCAGAGAGCTTGATAAAAGAGCTATTAGCTGTCTCAATGATAGCTTCATTGCTCTTTACAAACAGGCACAGAGAATGAAACCCAACAGTAATATGGATGGTGCAGTCATTCTACCGAACTGAAAATGATTATAAAGGAGAATCAGCTGGGAGAGAGAACTGGTCAATAATTGGAAAATACAAATATTTTATTAAGTATCTGAAAAAATTAGGAAAGAAAGCTGTGTGCATTAAGAAAAAAGAAAAGGTCTATCGCAAAAGGTTAATGAAAGTCTCTATGTAATTGTAAATCAATGCAATGAAGAAAGAAAGTTGTTAACACTGAACACAGAATAGAAGTAGGGAACTGCATAAATAATTCCTCTGATAAGGATAGACATGTTGTTAGAAGAAATTTATGGTCAGAGGATTAAGGACAGTATTTTTCAAATACCTTAGGAATCCTGACAACAGTACCAGATCTTTATCAGATTAACTTGGAAGATTTGTTAAGAATAATGAAGGCAAGAAAATAGAGTTCAATAAGTATTTGTGTTTGGTATTTAAGGAAAAGACAGACAATTAGTAATGCTCTATGAGGATGATGATGAATTACCATGCAAAAAAATACATGGAAAAGCAAGGATGGAAGCTACTAAAATGAGATTTGCATAGGAAACTTCAGATTACTTTTAGCCAAGTGATTTTAAAGAGCTGACTGAAGAATCTGTGCTGTTATTCTGTCTTGGAGTAATTGGGAAAGTTCCAGAAAGGTGGAGAGAACTTATGTTGCATTAAAGTTTAAGGAGGATAAACTTACTGACGTAGATAATTACAGGCCTGTCGGGCTGAAATTGATCTGGAGTAAAGTAATAGCATGGCTGACAGGGGGCCGAATAACTAACTAATTAAAGAAGAGAAATATGTTAAGTGCCACTCTAGGTACAATATGGAAAATAGGTTCTGTCAGACACATTTGTTGTCTTTTGTTTTTTTTTTCCAGTTGCGACTACAAGCAAAACACAACACTATTGAGATATTTTGATTCTATATGACGTTTGATGTAGAATTCATTACAGTTGAGTTAAGAAACCATGATTATACAAAACACAGTAAGTGAGCTAAAAATTGGTTAACTGACATTTCAAAATGTATATTTAGAAGGGGAATGATCACAGAATTGGTATCCAGTTGGAACAGCTTTCTGGGCATACTCTAGTTAGTATTTTTATCAACAATTAGGAAGAAAAATGAAATATTTGCAGAAGACTCAGTCATCAAGGGGATTGGTCAGGAATAGAAAAGATCACATCACTGACTCTGGTTGACAAAAGATTAGTGGGACATCTGGCATGAACAAATGAAGTAAGATCCATGTGTGAAGCCACGGGAACAAAAGCTTCAGGCATACAGGCTGGCTGTTCCATAAGGATTTGAAAATATCTAATAGGAATAATTCAATTATTACACAATTCTTTACCTTAGTATCTGGTTTAGTGACAAACAATTCAATAAATTATTATTCTCATTCTATGCCACTACTGTTAGTTATGAATGCACTTCAAGAGCAACACACAAAACCATAACAGAACCATTTCTCAGTGAGCTGCGGATGCGCAGCTTATACTCATACTATTAGTGCACATCCGCAGCTCACTGCGAAAAGGTTCTGTTATTTTCTAGATATACTGGAACATACATATGTGTGCATATGGATGTGCACTAACAGTATGAGGGATCCATTTCAACCTTTCCCTATGCAGGACAGTTGGTTTTGTGTATATATAATTCAATTATATTCCAGATACGTAGATACGTATATTCAGAATATACTGTAACAGTCCCTTCAGAAAATAACACACAAGTTCTTAATCAGCCCCGTAGCAGCGTATCAAATTTGAAGGACCCTCAAAGCTGAGCATGTGGATGGCATTTCTTCCCTTTATTTAATTTTAATCTTGCCACAAAAATTCTCTTTCCTTCCCCTCATTGTGGTGGCTTATGAAACAGCACAATTTCTACAAGAAACAAATTTTTATGCCATATCTTCTATGTTAGGATGGAAATTGAGTACCAGAATCAAGCCTCAGATTAGATGGTCACGATTGCTGCATCAGATATGACAGCGCTAGTAGAAGTGTGTTGAGCGAGTAGTGATTGTCCATCAAGGGTTTGAATGACTTGACTTCTCAAAGTGCTTCAGTCTGAGGAAGTGCTCGGAGGATACACTCTCTAGGAATGCACTTCTACACACAGAAGCAAAAACATAAGTTCTTACATTTCTAGGTTGTGTTTCCCAGAATTACTAGATTTTTTGGGGACAGATGTCAAAGGCATAATTCATGTTCGCATGCAGCAGATTATTTGGGAACTTCTCTAGAAGTATTGTGGATGTCAGCACAGTGAGGCAGTGAGTGTTGCATGTCAGCAGTGACAGAAGGCCACTTCCATAAGGATTTTTACAAGCACGGCATGCAGGCTCTTGCCCATCTCAGACAAAAATGCACAGCTAATGATGGTGACTAAGTTGAAGAGTAGTGTTTTGTACTGAGAATTTGCTCTATCAAATAATTATTCTCTCTTGTAGCTGTTGCAGTTTCCAAGGAAATAAATATGATGCAATACTTTTGGACCAAGCTACACAATACTTTGCAGAACAAAGATTTTGGCTTCTCTGAGTTCAGCGAACTGTCAGGTATGATTGCAATGGCACACAAATCAGTGAGAATACAAGTGCTTAGCACAAAACTGTACATACATTACGTCAGATAAAAGATCAAAATATCCACCAGGAAGGATTGGAAAACTGTGTACATTTATTTGTATTTTAGAATATCCCAGGCACAATTTTCAAGTACATAGAAGCACATTCTCCAAATGGGAGCAAAAAACTAAGTGTCACGTAGCAAAACAATTAGCAAAATATTTACAATGAATATAAACAGTATGAAATCTTTCTAAGTTTACAGTGCTACCTACTATGAATGCTCTCATTAGCACTACAAAAAGGCAACCAAAAACCACATGTGATAAGTAGCATAAAAAGAACCTCCTAGTCAGTTTGTTAGGAACTATAGTAGCAACTGTGTAACAACAGAAGAATGCTTGTATCCTGTATGTACATGCACACATACACACATATACTTACGTAACTGCAAGGCCACAAGAAAAAAAAAAAATCTGGGAAAATTTACGAAGGGAATTTGAGGGGATTGTAGTATATTAAAAAATAGAAAAGATACTTACTAATGCATGGTAAAACCACATCAACAAGTGGAATCAGGACTGACTCTTCATCTAACTTTCCCTGTTGCATCCAGACTGGGATACACAGTCCTATACCACGTTCATGGCTTGGATGCTTTCTTGGGAGGAGTCAGGATCTCTCATCTCACATGATCTCATATATCAAAGGAAAATGTATATGAGTAGAGGTAATCCACGGAAAGCCTAAGGGGGCTGGGGGAGGTGGGAAGGGCTTTTATTTAGCTGAAAGATGGAACTGTAGGACTTTCTCTTTCCTGTGGGGCAGCACACTGCAGTGGCACCACTTTGTAAGGTTTGCTTTACGTCATGGAGTGGTCATCAGAACGTGGATTTGGTTAAACTACAAGATGTGCTCCAGTCAAGTTGCATTCAGCCTGTAGGCACAAACTGTATGATGTGGGCATCAAGTACTTAGCACTAGCAGTTTCAGGCTACAGAACTTATCCAGCTGAGCTCATTTCTCGCTAATGTAGACACAGGCTTTGAAAATAGACAAAGTAACATGAAACAACAAGTACTATAGCTTATATTTGCCATGTAAGAGATTAGTCTTCTTTGTTCTGTCTCACCACTGTCTGGAAAAAAGGCTTTCCCTGTAGACACTCTTCATGTTTGCAGATCTATGAGTGTCTGAGTGAGGAGGGAATAGATGAACAGTCAGAAGAACTGTGAGCACAACATTTTTCTCTCTGTGTGTCTCCTGAACTACTATTTTCAGCAGTGTTATGAAAGAACTACAGGTTTCTTAGTTACTCTTGTGCATGTAGAGTTACTTTAGAGAGATGCCGTAGATTCCCAAAACTTGTAATTGCTGCCCTGCCAACACCTCAGTGCAAGCCATGTAAATAAAGTCATTTGGTTACACTTAGACATGAGGTTTTTCTTATAGCAGATCACAAAATTGTGGCTGTGAGCAGTGTAGTACATTCACAAAAGCAAGTTTAACTATTTCTGATATTTTAATAGTAAATATTTCCTGACTGGCTTCAGCAATTTGTATACTGCCAGCTGCTAATGGCACTCACAGAGCTCCAGCAAAGTGCTCTGGATGACACATGATGTGAAAAAAAAGAAAACCCACAAAAAAAAAACCAAAAAGAAACAAAAAAAAACAACAAAAAAACCTACTTCTGCTACTTAAACTAAGTCTACACACTACTTACATTATTTATTATAGTGCTGGAATAAAATACATAACATGCTGTCATGCATAATACATGGTAAGAACATGCATTAGTTCAACTTTACAGTACAGGGCCAGTAAATCAGGACAGCAGTGGCAGGTGCTGACAGCTGCATATCTGCCTGAATTCCCAGAAACAGCAGCAAGAAAGAAAAAAAAAAGAAAAATCAGCTGTTTAAAACACTCATGAAATGGTGACTCCTTTTGAGTTAACCTTGCAAAAAACTAACAAAACCCACTGATCTCTTTCCCACCTAGTTTAAAGAAACTGAGTTTAGCACCTGAGTTGAGACCATGCCCCAAGCAAGGTGACACTGCTAACTTGACAGAGCCAGCTGCTCCTCAGACCTGGGTCAGCACCAGCACTCTGCCATTCCCATAGAAGGTGAGAACAGAGCAAACTTCATGCTGTGCAAATCAACTGGAGAGTGCACGTCATGCAGTGGGACTGGATGAGCCTACAAAAGCTGGGGGAGAGAAGCCAGGGATGCCACACAGATTATTATGTTTTCCACAGAAGCCTTATCTTTCGCTGGGGAAAAATGGTGTCTTCCTCCTTCACTTTGTTTCTGGAGGGTTTGCCTAGAGGCTCTAGCGCAGAACAAACACAAGAGACTTCTGTGGATTATGCAATACAAAACTTACAAAAAGCTTGTTTTTCTCTGTGTCATTAGCTATACACCGAAAATACCCAGAGAAATGTACATGAACCCGGTGGCTGACTGTTCACCATATCATTATTCACTCCCCCATGGTTAAGTCACATTCCTCTGTACCCTCTTAGGAACGAAGGAACAGAATGAGACACATCTGCTGAAAATGAAACACTTTCTGCTCAAAAGAGCTAACTATGCCTAGTCAGGAAAAACAGTTCTTTTTTAGTCAATTCATGATTTCCTGATGTACGCTGCACATGGCAATGACCGCAGAGACTCCTCTTGGCACTGACACCAGGGTTTCACTCTGCAGGGTACCCTCAGGTTCATCATAAACAAATCTCAGACTTGCTCAAGCCTAAACACAGAGCCTCTAAACGCGCATGCTCTTTCTGAACCACATACTGAAAAAAAATTGTCAGCAACATTTAAGCATCAATATGCAAAGTGGTAAGGGCACCATCCAGTTATAATTCATGAGTGATGACTTCATAAATTTTACCTACCTGGACATTTCTTCTGTTTGAGAACTTGTGATCTGCTGGCTGGCTGCCTTTGTGTACGACCACACTTCTGTCTAAATCTCCAAGTGTTGGATGGTCTCCTCCTTAACATCACTATCTTCACAGAAAAACTGCTTACCAGAGTACTCAGAAGTGCAAAAATTGTACTGGGATTGGTGCACTACTCACTATCTGAACTTGCCAAAATGATTTCTGTTAGTTTTGAAGTCAGTCCTCAGAAATGCTTAAATCAGTGAGCCTTTAACTCACAATTCAAATAGTAACAGGCTGACTTCTTCATCTGTGGTGTTGCTCATACAGAAATTTTGACAACACACAATGTTCCTCTGCCTTTTCCTGCAAGGGCATTTTCTCCTTGGTGGTAATTACCATCAGAGAGAGTGGAGCAAATCTAGAGCTAAAGGCATTCAGAGAAACAGAACATCTGGAAAAATACTTGCAGGAGAGATCAAGGGATACTCCTATCTTGAAGAATTTTGGGGGCATTTTTTAGAATTTGGAACATCATCTGCTCCTCAGTAGGACTTTTCCTCAATCCTTCCTGCTTACTGATGTACCTGATACAAGGACTCTGCAGATGGAGTCTCCCAGCCCAGATGGGAAGGGAATTTGGCTGGAAACTGCCATTTTCTTTCTGCTAAGAGGCCTTGATAGAAGCAGAGGGAAGTGATCTGGACATCTTCAAGGGATGAAAAGGTTGACGTTATTTTTGCTACATTGTTTTGGAAAAGAAATTCCAGATGTTTTTTTTTTTTCTTTATTCAGTTAATTAACTGTGAATTGGTAATCAGCTGATCAAAAAGATAGAAGAAAATTTCTGCTCCTATTCAAAACTTCTTTTTCTGAAAAATAAAATCAGAAGGTAGTGCAACATGAAATGTATTAAAATTTAAACTTTTAGTAAGATGAAGGCTATGGCAAGCTGAGAAAAAAATATATTTTTTAAAAAGTATTTTGAACAGTCAACTAAATTATGGAAGAAACATCTGGTGACGACTTAGCTGACTAATGGAAAAAAAAATAAACACCAAATTATTTGCAAGTATTCCTCTAATAGCAAAAAAGTGAAGATCTATTTTGAAAACTTAAGGTAAACTCCCTGCTTGTTCCATACTCATAACTAGTTCATTAAAACAGGACTGCTTGAATGAATAAGCAATTAGGAACTGATTACATTCAGGTAAATTGTAGTAGGCTTTACTTTAAAGAATTAATAAATGATTCTCAGCTGATGTCTTAACTGCTCTCAGAAGGTGAATCGAGATCTCTTATCATACAGCCAAGCAGTGAAATTTTTTCTTCAGTACCACAGTGCTGATTTGTAACAAATTTCTACAAAGTCATTTCTTCGTAGAATCATCTTCAACACAGTGGTCACAGTTCCTTAATCATACAATAAAAATCACGCAAATACGTGTTCAGTTTGTGCTAAAGACAGGCTCATTTAAATAATGGAACCAATGTTCATTTACTGTACTGTTAATGAAGTCTGATGCAGTGGTTCTAAAGGCAGATCTCTCACCACAAATCCAAGCCCCTCTACAAACAGGGAGCAACACTTTTACTTTTGGTCTGTGACAACCACACTCTAATGGTCTTCTCAATTTTGCTGTATGTTTTACTGTTCCTAGAGCTATATTTTTCTTAGATACTCGTAGCACAAGATGTTACTTCATACTGCATGCAAGCATTCTACAAAGAGCTGCAGCACGAAACTCAGTTTACAATGCACTGACAAGCTGTAACTGCCTTAAAAATTTTCTCAGGCTTAAAAACTGCCTTGCATGTGAATGTAACTCAGGCAGAATTCTTACACTGTGTTTCCTGAAGAGAAAGTCTACACTTTGTGAGAATGCTTCCCATGTAAGTCTGTTCAGCCCAACTGCACTCCCTGTGCAGCACTTTCTTTGTATCATTCACTTTGCCCAAACACTTTCTAAACCCAAGTCCAGATTGACTTTTCAGCCCCTCTTCCCACAGGGGGGTTTAGATTGCTCCATGTTTCCCTGTACAAAATATGGGACATTGTTCCTAATTCTGCGTGCCCTGCTTTTTTCAAATCCTGCATTACAATTTCTTTATTAGATTTCTGTCTATCCAGCCATCCATCTGAACTGGAAAAATGAATATGTATATAAAAATAAATCTAGCTTGCTGTCTTTTACTACTACAACCCTTCATGCATCCATGACCCTTTCACCACCAGATTTTATCCTGTGGTATATTAGACTATGATTGGTTTTAAACTCCAGGGACAAGAAGCAGCCACTTTAAAGTACTATTTTTATATTAGAGCATTGCCTGTAACCTTCAGATACGTTAGGCATCTCTTCTACAAGGCAGTATACAAATGCAATACATTGCAAATCTCAGTATCTGTCTCAAGAGCTTACAAGAAAGTCAGTCAGTCAGGGAGTAGGAAAACATCATTGTTCTCCTCTTCCAAGCAGGCAGATGAGACATCAAGTCACAGAGGTCTGGGACAGAGTCTGTATTTCGATACAGGTATTTATCTGCAATTGTAACAATGGCCCCAGCCTTTGGCATCCAGCACGAACACTTATGGCACTAAACAGTGAAAGATAAGCTATATTAAAAATAAAATCGTAAGTTACATTTACAGGAGAAAACACAAAGGGCAAGAGGCTTTATAGCTTAGCATCACCTGTCAACAGGAAGAAGAAACCAATGGTCAGAAGGAGGAAAACTGGTAAAGAGATTTTGTTCCCATCCTCAAAGAGTTGCAGCTGATGATGAGAATATACACATGTCATGAACATATAAAATATAGATTCATATGTACAAATATACAATAGGAAATAGTATACAAATACTTACATGTAAAAATATCTTTTTTACTTTCCCCTTTTCATGATTTACAAAAGCATACAAAGTTTCCTACTGGTTAATGTTAAAGTAGTGAGTAAACCCTGTGTGTTGTGTTCCACACGTAATTCTTTCAAGTGTTCACAGTATTGGCTATTACAGTGTTGAATCTCACATTCCAGATGTTAAAATACTCTTAGGACACATTCTAAACTTAAAGCATTCATTTAAATACCGTTTAAATAAAATTCATGGTCATATTACAAATGAATCTTCTGCAGTTGAAAACTTTCTGTGAGAGTAAGCTTGGAAATGCATGTTTCAGCTAGAGATGAGTATATTTTAAAATTCTTGAACTGCTTCTCGATGTGTAGATAATACAAAGCGGTGAGTTCTTTCAACTCCATCTGAAGCAATGCAGCTAGGGGAGCTTAGTATTACAAATTATCCTCAGTAGGAAGAAGGACACACAGAGCAATCTGCCATCAGATCCAGACATGCCATCACTTTCTTCAAATACCCAACGGACAAGAATAAATGACAGGTACCATTGTTTTTGTGGTAAGAATGAATGCACCATAGCAATCTTTATCAGCAGTGTGCTTTATGGATTCATATTAATCCTCACAACTCCCTTGTGAGGTAGATGGTATCATCCCCATTTTTTAAGATGGAGAAGCTCGAAACATAAATTATGGTGGCTAGAAGGGAAATACTGTCAATGCTGCCTTTGGATGTTGGAGCAACTCAGAGGCATAACTGGAGAAAATGGAGATGCTCTCATGTGACAGCCTTACTCTAACCAGCTTGGATACTAAACAGCAGGTTAGTTACACCAACAAAAGGTTCAGTGTGGGCTATAAAAGAGAGCCCAGGTCCACACTGCTGGAGCAAAACTGTTGGATAGCGCTTTCAAAAAACATAAAACACATCATCCAAGATGGTACAGACTGATCAGGATGGAATGAAGCTGCATTTTAGAAGGTATGAATTAATCAAGAACCTTGAGCAAGTAATATTTTCTGATGAGAGAGCTGTGTGCAGTTCAAGAACCACGTTTAGCTCATCTCTAATATTATCATATACCCAAGTGCTCGCACGTGAAAGTATTGAGATGTTTTTTAACATCTGCTCACTCACAGAAAAGACAACTAGACTTTGGAAGTCCGTATATTTCTTCACATTTCCTTTGTGGAAAATTCCAGCTAATACCACAGGTGAAACTATTTCTGCAGTACTTTTGGAACTGCAATTGAGCCGCAAATATTAATTTTGATTAACTAAGGTGATGGACAAGTTTTAAAGGACAACCAAGTCCCCTGTGTACATCTGCAAATACAGGAAATCTCATCTCTTTTTAACTACTGAAGAAAAATCCAGTTAAAGCATAAAGTGCATTGGATGCAGTAAAACCCTTAGAAATAACAAGCAATGTGTCTGCCTTCCACAGTTTGGTTAACTTCGCTTAACAGCTGAACCTGGTTTTAATTTACTGTTATCCAGGCTGAAAAAAGCCTGCCAGATGTAAGCAAAATTATTGTAAACGGATACAATTTTGTACTATTATGCTATTCAGGGGGAGTTAAGAAAACCAGTATCAAGATACCGTCCAGTTGGGGTGTGTAAATATTATTGTGTGTTTCTTGGCCCATTTAGCAAATACTTTCTTTTCTGTGATAAACCTATGGCCTCCATACGGAGCATTTTCATGTAGAAAGTATTCTTCACACTCATCTCTTCCTGGCTCATAATAATGGTAGGGAACTTTGCGAAAGCCTTCTGACCTAGGAAAAGAAAAGAGAGACTTAAGAATCATTTCCAAGAACATCATTAATATATACTGCACCTCAATTAACTGAAATCCTTTCCGTTTATTGGCACTTCAGCTCCTTCTCTAAGGGCTTTAATTATGGCACAGTTTGTATGAATTGTACGTTAGAAACAGAAGCTAAGTGTACCTCTCAGCATACTGCTGGTGTTATCAGTCTGCAAGAAGCTGAGGGGACAGCTCTTCTGGGTGTTACATATTTAGTTTGGCCATGAGGAACTATAAGTCCACAAAGCTCCATTCCTGAAGTGTATTCATTGAATAGTTCAAAATATTGAAACTGGTCCTTGGACTGGATGAATAAGGTAGTTAGAATCAACTACACTCCAAGTAGGTGATGCAGGCAGAACTGCAGCTTTGAGGAAACCCAACCCTATCTGCTGTCAATAGACTTAAGTGTTATCCACAGCAGTAAGTGGTTTTACATCCTGGCAGTGGCAGCTCAGCTGAACTCAGGGAGGACAACTTCAGTTCTGTCACTCCTCATCTCAGGGCACCTAGTGTGTTTTCATAAACAAAGAGCAACATATGTTCATTCCATCTGGATGACTCAGTCAGTAGGATCTGCAAATTCTAAAAAGTCTCTCTCTGCACTTATGATATCCTAATTAAACAGCTGTGACTCAAATGCCTTTTCTGGGAGCTGGTCTACTGGAATGAGTGCCACACTGGAGTGATGCAGAATACGAAGTGAGGGTCTGCATGACCTTACTCTAGGAGCTGGGGACCCTCTGCACTGATTATATGCAGGACACGAACCAGCCTGGGTACAGAAAAATAGGCTTAGATTAACATCATTTATTGTTTATGACATTTCCTGCTTTTGTGAATGAGGAATTGTTTCATTTTATATTTGCTGCCATATACTGTAGGTTCAAGCATTTAACTTGGACTTTTAAAAATAGTGTTTATAGTTATACTTCTGACAATAGAATTAATCCATTGTCACTGTAAGGTCACTAACAGTAGTTGGTTGGAATTTATGTCAGTTTACTGTGATAAAGCCTGCAGGACTTGTTTTATTATCTAATTAGAAACCCCCTACTACTCCAAACAAGCCATATATAAACTAGAAAGTTCAAGTAGGTTGCTCAATGGTGGTAAAATGTAATTTCAGGTAACTATCCAGGGTAATGAGTATCTTTCATTTTCAGGTGCAGTTGGCATACTGAGAACTAGCACGTTAGTATTTCTTCTTCAGCAGTAAAGTACATTTTATCAAAATAGCAAGATACTTTATTTCCAGCTAATTCAGAAACTTCAGAAGATCTTCGATTAAAAGTAGTTCCTTACGACATCTGATATCGGGTTTTGTAAGTGTTTTTATTTTAATCAACAGCAAATGCCATAATCAGTACTAAGTATGCTGACAATATAGCCTCACATCAATGCAAAACACTGGGAAATGGCTGCCTGATCCATTTTTGGGGGATTTATGATATTAAGATCAATTGTGAAATTTTGACAAGACATCAGCATTGTAGATGCATGAAAATAATTTCCTGTGATCTTACTTGCAGTAGGTGTCATTTATCATCCCATAGACGTGAATTCCATAGCAGGCATCCATAGCCAAAATTAAGGTAAACCAACCCGTACTGAGATATGAACCTGACTGGACTCTGTAAAAATACAACATACAGAAAATAAATTGCAATGAGAAATTACCAACACTTTATCAAAGAAATGTAATCTATTACTTGGGACAAAAGACATTAAGCAACTTGACAGTCTGTCAAAACTACACAATTATTTTGAATTATTTATAGATACACTCTCATTCTTGCCAGCTTGAGGCCTCCAGCTATTGTCCACAGAAAAAAAAAAAAAAAAAAAACCTTCAAAGTTAAAATCTGAAGTCAAACGACGCATCTCCCATTAGACAGAAAATTATTTATTTGTACATCCAAAAGATAACAATTACTACAGCTTGTAAAATAAGATTAAGTTCATCAGAAAGCAAACTACTGGCAGAGCTTGAGTTGCGTGTATGTGGATATTCACCATTCTCTTCCACAAGCAGAGCTTTACATCTCCTGCCTGAAAATTTGCACAGAGATTAAAGCTTTAAAGCCATTTTGGTGGAAAGCCAAATGAATATATGGATAATATAATTAAGAAATATACAAGAAAGTTAGGCAAAACAGGTTATCATGCTAAAGCAGAATGGATGGAAAGCTCAACCTTGTCCTAGGCTTGCTGAGAAGACTCCAAGAAGAGCGATCTCCAAAAGAGATCCTTCCCCCCCGGCAGTCAGCTCTTAAATGGGGTCTAGGAGAGGTGGAGCCAGGCTCCATCCCTTCCAATAGCACAGGTGAATTGCTTTCACCTGTGCCCCCAGGGCTGACTTGTTTCTCGCTCAGGTGGTCAATCAGATGCTCAGGCCATGATTCAGCAGTTCCCATACAGCTTTACACAAGCTTGTGCTGTCATTAAGACAACAAAGCAAAGAGAAAGCACAAGACAGCAGTGCCCAAATTGATAACCTTTGCTGAAATAACCAGTTCCATTAAATCAGGCCAAAAGTATTACCTGCATGAGTGAGAACAAATGACACTCAAGGAGTTGACTCACATATTGGCCATGTAAGCAAATGTGTCAAACAAAACATTGTTAATTACAGACCAAATCTTGTTCACTTTACTCACACAAATGTTACTAATGGTGGACGGGGAGTCAGCAAAACTACACATATAATCTGAGCAAGCAATACATTCTGCTTTACTTTGTAAATAAGAACTCAGCACTCAATGTTTACAAGCAGGTTGAAATCCTGCTTTGCACATGTATGGCTTTCAGTTTGTTTGAAATCAATGAAAATCATTATTTTGAAATTATAAATAACTTGTCCAATTTCCAAGAAGCCATAGCCCTAGCTTGAGTTAATAAGTGTGAGAGAACTTGCTATGAGTCAGAGGAGGGGATAATTTAACTTTATGCCATATCTTCCAGCTTTTAGCTCTGGGTACAGCAGGGAGCAGTCTGTTCTCCATCATAAGTTAAAGTAACCTAAGGTTTGCGCTCAATTAAGTTTGGCTACAGAAGAACTCCCATGCAGGCCTACGTGCAAATCAGGTTTTCCCAGCAACAATATCTTCTGAAAACATTTTCATCCTGGTGTAGGAATAAAGCCTTCATTTGGAAAAAAAACTAGATAGATAGATAGATAGATAGATAACATAAAGCAACACATCCAGCCTATAAATTCTAGCTTTTCTGTGAGACAGATAAAACATCTTTGGGGGTTTCTTCCCAATTCAGAGCATGGATGTGCCTTGGTAACCTCCGGGTAAATCTGCCAGTCAGTAGCTTTTAGCTCAGATTCTTTGTTACTTCCTTGCAGTTTGACAAAATACTAAGAACATGGGTAAAAGTCTACATGTACAACCTTTATAATGACATTTATCTGACGCATGAGACTGAGATTCAAAGTCCTGCCCTGGTGAATGCTTACTATTATGGAAACTAGACTCCTAGAACTTCACATTCCTAAAGAAACTCTAGCTCTTCAAACAGATACTGCTATTTCAGTAAAAAACAACTATCTTAACCCCCAGAGAGTTCTTCTTACACAGGAACACTCACACAACTCAAGGCTACATCTTCCATTCCTTGCACATGTCAAGCATTCCTCACAGCTTAGACAGAGTGAACTTCTATTCTTACTCTTTCCAAAAAGTCTTTTCCTTGGGGAAGCTCCTCTGTGGAACTGACTTTATTGAGTAAAGGGCCATTCTGGAAGCAAGAAATAAAGGGTTAACAGTGCTGAAAATGGCCAATGGGAATAGAAGGCAGGGTGTTAAATATTCATTTTTCCTTAGATGGAGACCAATTGTAATTACATTTTTTAACTTGACATAGTAGAGCCTCAAAACTGTACATTTGTTTATCTGTTCCTTTAGGATCTCCATTTCTTCAAACAGAATGTTTCTCAAAGAGAATTCCCAACCCATTTCATGTTACTTCAGAGTAGCATCCTGCCATGATAAAAAGCTTCATTGCTTCTAACTTGCTTCCTGCTCTTGCACCAGAACACTACCCTTGAACTTTTAAAGCCATTTAAAATCATAATAATCATTTATAAAACACTATGAAGATCAGGATCCTTCCAATAATGGATATTTATTGGAGAATATTATATGACAATAACATCTAAAATTTGCTATACTCAGGAGAAAAACAGAATTTTAAAAAAGAATTAATCAATATTTCATGTCCTGCTTTAACATCATTGAACCTTAGTCCTCTCATCTATATACTACAGTGGCAGAATAAACAAAAACAGGAGAGTGAGTTTCTAGATACCTTCCCTGGGAGATGAAATACATGACAGAATATAGATTATGTGTTTTAAAACAAAGCACTTATATTCCTCTCTTTTTTTTTTTTCTTCTGAAGACACACAGGAATATGAGGGAATACTTTTAAGCAGTGGGGACTCTGATGATTTGGTAACACCTTAGAATTCAATCTGATACTGTAAACTTACTTTCAAAATTCCAGTGAAAGCAATATTAGAAGTGTGAAAACAATTTTAGCTGTCCTTAAAAAGTCATAAATCTTGGAATACCTTTTAAAATATCATCCCATAAAACTGTACTGCAAAGCAACGTCTCAGCCCTTGCTATTATGCTAACACCATGCATGCAATTTCTTTCTCTACAGGAGAGGTTTTCTTGGCCAGGGCTTTTTGAGTACTGTGTGAGAGTTCCTCTTGTTACTGTAATTGCTCTGAAATTTCAAATTTTACTTTTACATTAGAAGTAAAAGAATAGCATACATAGCATCTATGTTACTGCACAAATCTGAAGGTAAAAGAACATTCATCTCCAAATAGGGGAAATAAGAGTTCGCCAAGCATCATCTGTAGTAGGAAAAAAAAAAAAAAAAAAAAATAGCACACACATCTACTGTGATATATGGGCATGCAGCAAATCCAGAGTTGTTCCCTATGGCTCCGAGTGACTTTTTCTTATATGGTAAAATTAATGGGGCACCAGATCTAGGCAAGAAATTGTCTCAACAGCTGAAGAGAAACTAATGCACTATTTTTCAAGAAACGCGTTTAAAAAAGGATGATTTTGCTTTCAAGAAGTGATTTACAGCTGGGTGCAGTAAGAAAAAAGCAATGCTCACAACAAGTTACTTTGTCGGTTTTTGTTGAAAACGAAAGTTTACTTTGCATAACTCCTACATTACAAGGATTCTTAAAGAAATGTGTTATTGGGATGTAATTTGTTCTGCTAAATATCATCCAGCATATGCTTAACATTAAACAATTGAAAAGACCAATTAAATCAATTTAATTAAGAGGCGTAAAACAAAGTATATGCTTGTCTATCTTGCTCTTAGTGAAAGTTTAACTGTTAAACATGTCATTATCTTATCTCATAATATAGAAGTGCCAAGATTACTTGTTATTTGCAAATGGCAAAAGGTATAGTTTGCACTTTATCTCTGGTTTCTCACAACATGCTAAGACTTTTCTTCTGTATTTTAGAAGAAAATGGTAAAAATATATCTACAATTATTAGATTTGTCATGTGTGATACAAAAAATTTTAATTAAAAATAATTTTAAGTACAGGCAATTAGACAAAGTTCTTTTGCCTCAGCTTTCTGATATTCTACAAAAAGCATATGAAATGGATATAAAGAAGATGGAGTACAGAATGCCTCATAAAAATACTGCAGACTGAAATTCATTTTGACACCTATAACCATGCTTTGATGTCGGATAAACGAAGGAAAAACTGGTTCTTTCTTTCATCAGAGGAAAATGAACGTATATTTTTTTAATGCTCAAGTGCATGTGAGTTCAAATTGGGTAAAATTTTTGCTGTCACTTGAGTTCTGATTTTACCATAAGATTCCAGGAGGCTATTTTCTTTATTCAGTTGTCCCAGGCCTTTTATGCGGACAATCAATTCTAGCTCTATGGTTCAGTGGATTGTAATTTCCAGTGAGGAGTTTCGTGTTAAAATTTAAAATTGAAAAAAAAAAAAAAGTTTGTTAAGGTGGAGACAATCAGTAGAAAAGTAATTTCATGTCAATCTGATTCCAGAAAATTATTTAGGAGCTTATTTTTTATTCTTTCCTCGGAGAAACCAAAGAGCACAGAAGGTCAGTAGAGAGTGTTAATTAAGGGGAAAATCTAAGAGATTTCGGACTTCAAGAAGCTATTAAGCAGCAGCCAAAAGTATCAACTAGACAAGTTTTTTCCTTGTTTCAAAATACTGCAGTAAAATGGAATTCAACAATGACAGATTGAAATGACAAGATTCTTCAGGCCAATTAGTTGACGAAAACACATCTTTTCATAAGTGCTGTTTAGAGACTCGGATCCTCAGTTGACCCGCCTACCAAAACTACTGAATCATCAGCAATTTTACTTATAGCAGCTCGTCAGGCCCTGGATTAGTAAATAAATAAAGGTATTAGTTTAAGCAAAGGGACGTGTAATGCAATCAGTAGAGGCTTAATAGCTTGAGAGGTCCTTCAACACCATAAAAGATTTGTAGAAAATGCTTTAAAACAAATAGAAATATTTTCAGTAATGGAGTTGATGTTTGTTTGAAAGCTGTTCAGGTAGATACGGCCACAGTACTTCTGGATTTCTTCCT